GAATGGTATAAGTCCGCCAATGCACCAAATGTGCATGATGTGTAAATAAATAAATAAATATTAGATGGTACGTTAAATGAATATCTAAAAGAAACATATTTAATTATAGCAAACCACTCTGTAAAAACCAACAAGTTTTGTTTATTTCACGCTTTGAGCAACATTATAAGTTGCCGATACTTGTGTCTGATGAGTACATGATATTGCGATCATGTAAAATGTTGCACCTAACACATACAAGTGCAAAGAATTGGTTGGCCGAAGATTGCGTACAGAAAAGTTCATCGCCTCACCCCAATTCTTAAGTGCGTGTTAATGACCGGAATGGCAGTAACACAGAATAGATGTAATTGAATCTTCTCACTCGTTCAAAACCAGCCTAGGATTACGAGCGAATCACCAGATGAACAACTTCTTTAGGTACTTGTAACATCAAAACTGTGATGATAGCCGCTTGCCGCTTTCCATCCCGGTTATCCTTCTAACCATTTAACATTTGACCGGAATGGAAAATATTTGACAACTAGCACTTCAGTTTCGCCTTCAATAGAATGTGTCCTGAGACTTCCACCTATCGAATAGCTTATGTAACGAGCAAGCAAGAACGCGATTACCATCTAGTGATAGATGGTAATCGTGTTCACGCCGCTGTGAGCAGTCAAAAAACTTAATGTGTCACAAATGTTTAAAACTATCTCTCCCATAAAGGCGGCACTATTATTCTCTATGGTCTTTTGTAAGGTGCCGGTTTTGCAAGGGTCTGGGAAAACATTTTGATATTTCTCCTAATGCTATAGCAATGTGTGTTAATTACGGTCGTGTGATCGATTCCCATCCAGGACATATTATCTCATAGGTAAAGACTTATACTCGTATCTACATATATACACGGTATGTATAAATATACTTTATACACATATATATTTAAATATACACAAACATACAAAATTATTAACATTGTCTTCATACACTATGAATATAAGAAAATTGGTTGGTGTACCTACTATCGACTCGATGATTCTGCCATCTCATTAAGAAGGAGGTCATATACCTTCTTTTTAAATACGGAACGGTTTGTGGGCATCCTGCCCTATCCTATCTATTATACTCGTATGTATGTATTTAGGAATATAAATGTTTCTGCCTAGTTTGGGATCAGACGGCCGTGTGCAAAAAAAATATGTCTTCATTAGTACCAATGTTTTACGATTAAGTTACCTATGTTCCGTTCTTTCAGTCTTATTAACGAGTGGGTCCCGTATATCATTACTGACAACATTCCAGACAGACTTACTTCGTCGCAGAGTAGAATAATACGAGCGCCATAGCACATGTATGACCTAGGCCTACGGGCCTAGGCCTCACTAGTGACAGTGAGGCCTAGGCCCTGGAGCGTCAACTCGTCCTTAATATTTGGCAAGTGTGTGCAGCGGCAAACCGCACTGCATAACTAGTTTACCGGCGGAGTTGTCAATTGGAGCGAGACCGGCTGGCGCTGACTCACACTCACGCCTCTCACCTTTACAAGCTGTGATGAACACACATTCTCCCACACGCCTTCATTACGAGTTTTGATTTGTTACTCGCTGGAGACTCAGAAAATCTTCAGGTCTAAAGAATTAGTAATGAGCTTATCTCGCGATGCTAGACGGCTTTATCCTCACGTACAAATAAAACATGCACTCCGGTCTCCACTACACTTACAGTCTTAAGGTAGACCAATTAGGTCGCAGGAAGGTAGGTAGAATTCCATGCAACTATTTACTTGTACAAGCGACCTTTAGTCGCCTAGTCACTGTCGTTTATTATCGGTTAAACACAGGAATGGATTTCCTGTTGCGGACAATTTTCGTAAGAATGTGAAGTAACCTTGTACATATATACGAGGTCACCGTAGATGTATATATAATTCACTATGATTGTATACGTGACTCTAATTGCGATAATTCTTAATTAAGCGGCATACCTAGATCAGCTCACGGCGAACACGTACAAATAGCGATATTATCTGCCCATTAGTGGTATTACTTACATAAGAAACTATTTGATTGCAGTTAATGCAAGAGTATGTGTATGTGTTTAACTGTTGTTTACTAACCACAAACATGCGACCTTCGGAGGAGTACAACGGGTGCATGACTCAGTCGCGTAACTTTGACGAGTGCACACAAATGCAAGGATAAGAACGACCGAAATGCGTTGTACTCGATAACTTATCGATATGCAGGGGAACGGGTGCACTATTACTATTTTGATTTGATTCTTTAGCAAACTATGTCACATACCTCAAATCCTTTTGTAATTTCATATTGTTTATTAAGAATAAATAAGGAAACTACATCACAAAAATTCGGAGCTTCCGTAATAAGTCAATGACGCCTAAGGCGTTTCTCTCCGAGACATCTCTTGTCACAGTATGAAGGTGCTGTTGTCAGTCGGGGCTGTCGCGATGGATCATCCGACACTTCGTGAAAATAGGTATATTTTCGCGAAGTGTCGGATGATCACGTTGCACTAGTTCCGTGTTACTTAACAACACGCGGAGCTGACACAAATTCTACCACACATAAATATTCGGTATCCAATATTGTGTAACACATCCGCAACACTTACCTACTTGTGCGACGTGCGACCTTCGATGTCTTATGCGTATACATGCTACATATGAACGGTGTAGTAACAATATTCAAAAAAAGCTCATTGAGCGACAATGTTTTTGCCAAAATGTTGCAAAGAAACATGCCGGATATCCCGTAATTCGAATTCAGTTTTATCTGTCTCTTCCGTTGTCCTTCTTGGGTTTAATTCCTAAAAGAAACGTTCACTTTGCCACTAACTTCACATGTATATAGTTTGATGTGATTCATTTTTTGTATACTATTTATAAATATTGTTTTTTAGAAATTTTGTACAGAATAAGGGTGTGGTCGTGCAGTAAATGTAAATACGAGTACTATGTAATTATGTCTTAATAATTTGTCCATAGTGAAGTATGATGCCGTGTAATATTCCGATATGTTTGTAAAAGAACTGTTACCTGGTAAGAATTACTTGTTCAATATCCGCAATAAATAATAATATTCCTGATTTTCTTAAGAATTGAAGCCTACCATTACGACATGATGTAAATAGTACATAATAAACATAAAGCCGAAGGTCCGTGATAATTCGCCAGCGAGGCACGAACTATATAATAGCTATTAATAACAAACCACTGCAAGAAACTTTTATTGGGATCGGCCAGATTTGCAATATTGACACTCGACCCAGTTCACCGCTATTACTCATTATACGTGTCCAGTTTAGGTTGCGACACCGTTGTGCAACCACCGCGCTCACATACCACAGCCTTGCCGTCTCAGCAGATCGTCGTCAATACTGTTTTTACTTATTTATTTAATTCTACAAATGAGTCATGTGTTACACCACAGTCACATAGATAAAGAATGTAATTCAAATTGATTCTTATTTCTTCAATAACATATACTCGTATATAGGTATGTAGCGTGTTCAAGTGACAAAGTCAACACACGATTTTTTTGGGGATTGTTTACTAATCGATTGGATATTACCGTCGATTGGATAATAAATTTGATACGAGACTGATCTTCGCTGAATTAAAATGCAATTTTTTTCTAGCATGAAAAAGTAGCATTGCTCTTCGACTTGACTTCACTGACGGCCTTCTAAGGAATGCGGAAAAATACTTTAGTAAAAATTAATGATGAATTAACAATGCGTTGAAGGCTTTACAACAAACGGTTTAGCTTTTAATAAGTACTGCCTAATACTAAACTGTTTAAATACAATGTAACAAAATGTATAAACCGTAAAGGCGATACGGGTTTAACTAAAATTAATTGATTGATTGGTTGCTGTTCGTTGCGGATGTTACAATAAATTCATAATCTGTCCATCTTCTATATAAATAAAAATGAATCGCCGAAATGTGTGTACGCGCATAATTGCCGAAGGACTGCACCAAATTGTTTTTTTTATTGTGTTCGTTATTGTCAGAACAAGATTTGTATGAAATAATGTTTTTTACTAATATAACAGTTTTTTTATCTTATAAAATGATAAGTTTGTGAGTGAATGAGACAGAAGAATGTAGGAGATTGATACTTATATTTTAAAGAGGAAAAGTTTGCTTTGGCTTCGACTGTACACCTGCCACCCACAGCTCTGCATCACCCAAAGGTCGACTGGAAGAAAATGCGTATGGCATTAAGTCAGCAAATAAATAAATAAAGTAGGTGAGTTTCTATGTTCAGGGAATCTCAGGAACTACGGGTTCGAAATTGAACATTTCTAAGGATATAGGTTATACATATACATCATTCTACGACCAATAGGAGTCGAGTATCAATGAATAATGTTGCGAAAATAGCGAAAATTTATTCCTATTGAGACAAGCAGACAAATTGCGGGTGTCAGCTAGTAACTCATAACAATAAACTTTCATCTCTGTCACTTGGATAAGTGACGATCCGTCACTATAACCTTTTCAATAAATTGTTGCCGCGTTATACGATCCTGTGGAACAGATTGTCACCTGAGATATGTCGCTCGAAGTCACTTCCCGTCATGTGACCCACCTGGGCCTTAATTCTGCTATTTTATGTTAACGCCAAACCACTGTCATTCCATTGACACGCTATTGAGATGGCATTGAGAGATTGACATCGGTCAAAATAGTCGATATAGTAATATAGGTCATCAATGGTGATATCAACAACATCATTATTTTCTTACAAATTTAAAATGTACCATTTACCAAACTATTACAAAAACATCGACGACATTTGTATCAGTGGCAGTTCAGTGACAAGTCATCGGGAGGCCATCGGTCTTACTCGTACATAGTTAGTAGAATACGACAAGTGCAAAACTATTCCGACGATAAGAATATCGTCGGAATACTTTTCGATAGAAATCGATACTCTATTCATACAATATTAGAATTGCAGAATTGAGGCCCTGCTCGTTTATGCCCTCTATCATAAATCATAAGGTGCAGTGATTGTAGAAAACACAAAAGAGGAATTCCACGAGCAGTGCGTAGCGGCGCGGCTAATGTGCGCCTTGGTCGACCCGGATTTACTAATTGCATTTTGATTGTTTAGATTATGAATCGTTGTAATGACCAGCGCTAGTAACGCGTTTGTTATTAAACAAGGCATTACGTCCGCCAACAACACCGTTATCAACAGACTACAGACAGTATTGTTCTGCTTCGGACAGAGAATGTGTACTGTCTCGTCAGTGCCGCCGAGGCGCGCTGGGACAAGAGCAGCTCTGTTGCTCACAACGGACCACTCACACGATATAGTGACATGTCGCTTCACCATCGCTCATCTAAGTCGTTTGTAGTTGTTTGACACATAATCCTATTGTATAAACAGGATGTTAGGTCATTATTGGTCAAGTCAAGAAGAACTTATACACTTTTACTATACATATAACCTATTTTGTATTTATACCTAAATGCACTTAAAATAAATGAACTTTACCAAACCAAAAATTCGTAAAAGACATCCTCTATCGAAGCAACTATGTTGCCAGGAAGAATAACGTCTACTAGGTGGCTACTTTTCCGGAGAAGGCTGAAAGAAAATAACTTACTATAAGTTGTAAATTGACTACCATTAATGTACTAAACATACTCGTACTTACCTAATCTAACTTCAAAATAAATTTTAGACTTTAGTTTAATAGCCATAATCGTTCTAATAGATAAACATTTAGGCGTCAGTGTCCTGAACACATTTCCCACAGTTTACTAAATCTGTTATAAGTTGATAATATTCTAGGAATAACAAACTGCTTTAACAGGTTTAGTATTTAGTAATAATTAAGGTGTAATTTATCTACGACATGTATGTATTTATAAGTATGTTTATCAGCAGTCTGGTTACCAAGTTTGGGATCAGACGGCCACGTGTGAGAGTATTATTATTATAATTATTTATCGAGCTCCTAGAACTAAAATAACTTCTTATCAATCTGAACGGCACCGAAGAACTGAGGCTGGCCATGTCTCCACTATTAATGATGACAAAATTTACTGCTGGAGATAAGGCGATATCTTAATTTTTGTTATTGCAATGCTTTGTGCTTTGTTCTATGGACCCCCGGTCGATACGAAGTTCCTTTCGCTTTTTGGTAACCGTTTGCTATACAGCCGTTTTATAATTTATATTATAAAATTATCAATTTAATAGAATCATTGAAAACAGATGATAAAATATTGACTGCCTGCTAAACCGAGGTCTCGGGTTCGATTCCCGGGTCGGACCAAATGTTTGTAAGATCTGCAAATATTTGTTTCCTATTTTGGGTGTTCTCTATGTATAATATATATGTATTTACAAAAAAAAAGTAAACAAGTATTCTATCAGTCAATCTAGCTCTCATAGTACAAGCTCTGCTTAGTTTGAAACTAGATGGCGTTGTGTGTCAGATGTCCGAAATTATTATTATTATTATATTTATTATGTATGATAAATTAAACACTGAATAATCTGGGATGATTAAGTTAATAAAAAATAAAAATTTAGGCACTATGAATTTTATCTTATTATTAACTTTTTTAATTTTAGAAATAAACATTAACTATTATAACTGTGTGCGGCGATGTATATCTATAGGTCTTACAAGGCTGTAACTATGGCAAGAATTGTTGAAAAAATGTCTTGTTATACATTTTTCGGTCTCTCTACCAGCCGTGTAACGCGCGACAAGGAACTTCTCGTAATGGACGATGCAGAGTTAATAAGAGACCTCATATGACTGCATCCATATCGAATATTTTTTTCCGTCCAAAAACATTGAAAGATTGTTGATACAAAACGAACATACAGCCATCGTTTCCACCTATTGAGTACAGTATCTCGTAATGTAAGAGATATTTCTTCATAAAATATCACAGTTGATGGATGTTGAAACTACGAACTCAGAGAAAATTGTGACGTCAGAGACTGGAGGAGCAAGCGGCGGCGCCATGAGACGCCCGATGACGCAGGAGCCTGGCGCGGCGCAGCTCGTCGAGGCGCGGCGGCGGCGCCTGCGCAACAATAACACAACGCGACGGGAGATAGGAATAACGAACATTTGGCGCCCTCACATTTTTCTACCTGCCACTGAAGATTATGTTTGAGTGGTCAAAGATAGTTATTTTGTAGTTAAAAAAAAAGTTAAAATGTAAGTTCCTGTAGTCCAGTCCTAGTTATCCGTTTAAAAGATTGAGAGCTATTACAGGACTTGACTTTATATCTCACGTAGTCTGTATTACACGAGTGAAACCTCATAAACCAAAGCCTGTGTTAATCAAATACTCTACTTTCTCTTCATCACTGATCAAGTGACCACAATGTCAACACAGCTGGATCTTCTGGCTTGTAATTTAATAGTGGCTTTATTTGTATATAATAGATATACTATGAAAATGTCACGCGAAATAAATGTGACTGCTGCCGAACATCTGTGTGTCTGTATGGCATAGCCAACTTGCGTCGAATTATCTTTACAGGTGAACATCGTAAATGAACAAATTTTGAAAATGTCGATCACTGAAACAAAGAATAATTGTTTTTCAAATAATGCAGTATGATAAATCCTTGTAGCTTCAACTTCTATTTTTTTTTTCTTATTTAATAGTCCTTACTTTTTGTAAGTATGTTAAATCAATTTTAAAACAAGTATTTTGCTCATCGAGCATGGTATGAGTTTCTAAGTCTTGAGTTTGGTTGAGGTTCTAAATATACACTGGATAGGTATGATTCACGATCATAACAGTGGTGGCGATGATTTCATCATAATCATGGTTTTTAAACGAATGCCTACTAATTGCGTTAGCCATTACATTGTGACTTATAGTGATTTAAGTACGAAAGCAAATTTGTCTATCAACTTATGTTAATTACCAGTGTTCAGTTGACAAAATAAGTAACATTACTTTCCCAGATTTTTTTACACATAAAGTCATATAAAATATACAGTTATTTATCACCCAGGTGTCAAGCATACGCAGAACGACCTCCGTCCTCCATAAGCGCAGGCCTGGGGGTGACAGGTGAGGCCATCTGTCACCCTAGCAGAAGCAGGCCGGGGTGGCAGCGAGCGCGTTGCGAAGCGCGCTCGCTACCAGGGAGCAGAGGGAACATGGGGTTCCCACATGGGGGGGTCGTCTATTTCTTGTAGATGGCCCGAGGTATGTCGGGGCACCAGGGACTTGCTTTCTAGGGTATACCTGGTTCCCTGGCTATTAGTACCCGAGACGGCGTGCGGTTTTAGTCGGTTCGAGTTAGGAGATAGGTGGTATCCGAGAGGATTTCCGCGAAAAAAAAAAAAAAAACAGGGTGTCAAGCATAAATGTTTTAATGGCAACGTACAATGTGTACATACTGTCCGCAGTCACTTGTCCGTGCGAGTGACCTCGAAGTGGCTCAACAAAGGCTGCTCCATTAATACATGGTGAAGAGACAGGCCCGAGTCAGCTCGCGCCCCAGGGCCGAGGCGCAGAGCGTCATTAACCTGCTGGGTTGCGCTACTGCTGACTGGTGGTAGTCAATCACACAAGCAGTCAGCAATTCTGACGTAAGGAGTATGTATATGATGATGTTACATAAAGGAGTTACGAGTTATATGTACATTCCACAATACTTATTTGCCCGCTCGTTCGCAGGCGACATTCGTTTTAAACTTTGATATTGTTAACTTTATTTCTTTAAAAACCAGGAGATATATTGGGACACGCGTAACGCAAGATGCAGATGTTTATTACTCTCTTTTGGAACGAAGTTCCTTATCGCGCCTTACACGCTCTGAGCGGATGGGACCAAGACTGAAAAATGTGTAACAATACTTTTTTCCAACACTTCAGTTGACGCGTCGACAGTCTCATCTTTTTCATATTTCATATACTCGTATATAAAGTAAACGTCTACCAAAAAACGAAGTAATTTAATAAGCCGGGTTTTTATTACTCTCATACTTACAGAACGGTAACAGAGAGGTTGTTATATGTACCTCATGATCATCATCAATAGCCTTCAATAGTCCATATCTGTGCATATGCCTCTCCTTCGAAAAAAGGTTTTAGCCTCCTATACCACACTGGCCAGACGAATTGGTGTAGGGTTTGTTTCAAATTTGCTTTATTTTGCAGTGCTATTCTCCTGCGTGGGTTGCTCCCTTAGTTGGTTCTTACGACACCCATGCGATGAATAGGAGTGGTGACACTCCGTATCCTTAATCTGTCACCATACGGACTACCGTCATTTTTTTTTCAGATTTTTAATAACACAACTCTAACAAAAAAAATCACTAAAGCTTACCTACTCGGAATATTTCACAATCGGATCACTTTTTACACTGCCGCAACATTTTAAAGATCCATCCAACGATACACTTTGGGATATAAATGAAAAAAGTTACAGTCTCTTAGCTAATGGCGAAAGCAAAATGTTCCTTGTTAGGCCTACGGTGCCCTAACCTTTAAGATGTAAAAGTAACACGTGGTTATTGCATAATTGTGTTTAGTGAAACCTGTGTGTCAAAACTGTACATATGCAACATGCACGTGCGTGTGCTCGTTTGGCTGCTTGCCAGGTGCTTATTCCATTATTTTAATTATGATCTTTTAAAGAAAGTTTATTAATTTTTCACCGTTAGAGGTGGAATTTTAATAATTTAAATTCAATAAAACCAATGTCTCTAAGTGGATTCATAAAAAGAATAGTTGAGTTTAAAGCTGCCTCCAGTTTTAATATTGATAAAACACAATACCTCGGCAAATTCTATCAAGTATTTAACAACAAAGGTTGGCAGGTACTGTAGCCACCACAAAGGCACTACTCACTGCTGCTACGTATTAAACACCACACAATGCTAGAGATGCACACCTACCCCCGCGCCCTCCGCCTCGTCCCTCTCGTGAGTTATCTCCACCAGTAATGTCACAATTGTGCAGAACAAAGGTAATGTAAACATCATACACGTGCTATTGTACACACACTTGTAATTATTACCGTTATTATTATATCACCAACAATGCCTTTGTGCTTTTGTGAGCCTGTGTCATGGAGCTGGGTGACGTCATGAAGATCTGACATATCTCAACTTACTCGACGAAATACGAAACAGTTCCTCTTGACCAACTGTTAACCAAACTATCGGATATCCAACAATGATATTTTAAGGAAGATAAGTTATATTCATACTGCACTCACAAAACATTTGTGCCGTAACACTCTACACATGCATCTATTAATTCATTTTAGAACAAAACATACACTTACCTGTGGCATGATATTCCTTTATTTGTTTGCTTGTTTTTTTGGTGGTAATTTGTGCATTTGAATACACAGGAAAGTATTTTATGATTTTTTTTCGAATTAATTAGGACTGGAGTGGTCCTAAGTACTTCTATATGCATATAGCTAAAGTGGTTGTGTAATTTTATTTTCTTTAATATACATATTATGAATAAATAAATCACACTTAAAAGTGACAATCACTTATGAGGCTATTTTTTCCGAGGTTGTCATACCAAAATATTAATATAGAAAAAAACGAATGATGACAATGCGTTACACATTGTAAATAAAGTAATAGCCAGAAGTTCAAAATGACACGTTGAGCGTATCAGCTGGCGAAGTGACGACCTCGTACACACCAATATACCTATACTTACCATAATCACTTGAATGATAAACTAGCCTAAACTGGGCATGCGACGTGCGCGGGAGCACAATGGAGCCTAATAAGGAGTGTACTTCGCACCCATAGCGGTACGATCAGGCGCGGAGCATACGGGGCCGTACACGTTCTGCCTTTTGTTGGCTTATCAGCGGTGGACGCGATTATCATAGCAAATACGACACGCTCTGGGGAAATACGAATACTATGCAAAGGACATCATTCACGCTCCATACAAAAAGTACCCAAAAAAAAAAGTGCCGGCCAACGAAAAAAAATGGTTTTATCGGTTAGAGAATGACATTCTAAGATTTTTTTCTTTAGACGGCTAAGAGCTAAGACCGATTACTTATGAGTTATATGACTTAGAAATAATAAAAAAATGCATTTATACGAGTTCGTCTGAACAATTTTTACTTCATTACTATAGCAAAAATCAAATAATGATGATAAAGAATAACTTAATCTCGCTTAATAATAATATAATATGACAAAAAGCCTAATTATATACAATTATCATTAGGTACCTAAGTACCTACGTAGGTATGTGTAGGTATTAGTGTTATAAAATATATGTAAAGAAAAACACTTCATTTCGTGCCTACGTGGCTTTATTCCTATGTTATAATTCCGCAGGTCTGCTTTCAATGGTCTTGCGTTGTTTAGGTTTTTAATTATTCAGAAATAGTTAATTGATACATAAATGTAAATGCTCATTTTATGATTTTTGGAGATCCATTTTGGGTCTAAAAGTTGGTCGTAGACGTTTGTTGTAATAATAAAAAATGTTTAAAAGTAAGATGACACAGTTTTTTTTACTGGCCGGCACTTTAATTTTTGGGTACATTTTGAATGATGTCCTTTGTATTGAAAAATAATTTATTTAATCACTGAACATTTTGTTAACTGTTATTTGTCTTCATAACGACATATCTGTATGTGATATTTGTATGTAACTAGACCTCTTTCTTATTAATCTAATCTAATAATAACAATAAGACAATCATTTTAAGGTATTTTGGAGGCCGCGACTGATGTCCTGTACTCGTCGCATCAAGGTTGCCATTAGTCCTCCATAAGCGCAGGCCTAGGGATGACAGGTGTCACCCTAAATGAAGCAGGCTGCACAAAGCTTCAGGAGCACAAAGGGCACAGGGGGTTCCTACATAGGAGGGGTTATGTACACGCCGTAGATGGCCCGCGATATGCTTTCTAGGGTACACCCGGTTCTCCAGTAGCAAACATGTGGTAACGGTCAAGGAGACCCTGTACGTTACCTTCTGTCAGCTGTTGATTGAGTGCGTAACATATCGACAGCAGGAGTTTAGACATCAATGAAAACGATGATCTTGCACCCACGTACCCCCGCCACTCATCAAAGGCCGTCCACTTTCGGTTTCTTGTTTGGAATGGACTTCACTGACGACCGCGGCGGTTACGTCACCGATCAACGGCCGCAGGTTAACGCTCTGAATCATCCACATACATTATTTATCACTAAAATGTCAACCAATAACCAGTGTCATGAAAGATGGAGGCTTGAATTTGGAGTTGTTGAGATATTGGATTACCTCCTAAACTTTATTGATAACTCTTTATATATACAAAGTGGCATCTATATAGAAACAAAGTGGCATTTAAACATACAAGCTCAGTGCGACCGCGAGGCGCGGACATTCCAGAGATACAGGTCCATGTGTGTGTAAATAGTCGGAACAGGTGTGCGAGTACTGCTACAAGGCGAACTGCATGCCTGTCGATGTGTGTGTGTGTGTGTGTGTGTATGTTTGTGTGAGCGAGTGCAAACCGCGGCCCCGACCGCAATAATGATATAAGGAGTACGCAGGGTTTACTTACACCTTCTTTTTTCATCATCACAGGCTTCTTTTTAGAATTAAGATGTCAGAAACCTGCCTTAATCGCCTCGACAACAAAACATTTCCAACAACGACAACAAAATTGTTAACCAATCATGTAAGTCTGTAGAATAAAATTGACAAGATGAAATCTGACGGTGCCTTGCACTGGGTGGAGTCCGGTACTTCTATTTAATAAAGTAAAAATGTGAACGAACACTAAATATTTTATGTAGGTACCCTCAACATTTTCTGTTCTTTCTTCTTAATGGCAGACCCACTAGTATTCATTTGGTGATAGTTATAGGTAAGCACACTTTTTTTAAAACTAGTTTTAACATCATGCGTCTCTTAATATTTTGAGGTAAATTGTAAGACATAGATTGGTAATAAGTAGAAGCGTCTAAATAAGTAATTGTTTAAATTCCGCGTATTTCAAGTGTGGGTATAGGCTTGCATCGAGTGCGCCATATCTTTCTGCGAAACTTTCTCAAAACAATGAAGCAAGGTATTCGTGGTGGTGGAGGGCCCATTAGCGCGCCGAGCCGTTCGGTGCATTGTGGCACATTCTCGGAATGGCGCGCGGATATTGCGTTACCCAGCAGCGGCCCGTTTCGGAGAAAGCGTTTCCGCGCCCCTCGCACCTTCCTGTACGTGGACACGACATGTCACTGCCTGACTTATATACTTTCGATTTACTTGCAATCCATTTGCATTAATACTATTGTGCTTGAAAATTGATATCTCAACTTATAAGTCTATTGAAAGACCAAACATATGGTCGTCTATTGTTATTACCGAGAACATTGTATGTAGGTGCAGATGCTTGATTGTTAAAAATAAAAATAACCTACTTCACGACCTCGTCCATAATGTTTACGAGCAATCTTCAACTCCTGTCTTCTCGTCAATTTTTAGATTTTGCCGTAAAAGGTTTGTCTCCTGTCAAGCTTTGCAAGAAACCGAAACATCTTAATGCCTTACCTACGTACAATTACAACATGAAACAGTCAGAAATACGGTCTGGACGATAGGCTTGTCCAGCTTGCTGACTGTTGTGTACGGACCATATTATATAATATTTCAACACCATCATCCTTTAATAGTCCACTACTTGACTCTCCTTAGAAAGGAGGTTTTGTACTACTATTCCTCCAGGCAGGTTGGTATAGGGTTTATGTCAAGTTTTCCGTCTCTTTGAAGTGTTGTAATCCTGCAGGGTTTACTCGCTTAGTCTGCTCTTACGACACCCACGGGATGAATAAGGGCGAATAGGTAAAACTCCGTATTCCTAATCCGTTGCCATACGGACCAATATTTAGTTAGATTTAATTGGAGTTAGGAAATGTACAAATACTAGATAGTCTCAAGTGAAGGTTATTCCTAGGAAGTGTCTCACGTCCGACCTTCAGGACTCTACCAACGAATAACTGGGTTAATGCAAGCCTAACACGATATTATCGTGCAAGGTGTACACGCGCCTGCGCGTGTGTTTGTGTGCGCGCAGTGCTGTCAACCTGCAATTATTGCCAATTGAGCGCGTTTGCGCCGACACGCGATAAACACGCAGACAGGCGCATACATGGCATGTCAGTCGCTTGCCGGTCACATCTCGACGTTCTACATTGTGACTGATTTACTGTTATTATAGGTCGTGACACTCAAATTAATTAATCGCTGATTGTTTTTTTTTCTTCGAAGAATTGGAACATGCTAGACAGAACCACATCAGAATATTAATGAAATGGCAAGATTGTCTCAGTGAAGGGTAGCAATGGCCGCCAACACGTTATATAACATATTCGTCCTTATTGTGCCTTGACCTCTGACGTCCAACACGTCTGATGAACACTTTCTAAAGCTCCGCTTCGACGTCGTTGGCACCGCCACCGACCATCGTGAATAACTTATGTAATGATTATTGCACACGTTGTGCAGACGTTGTGTCACTCGAACACACCATATTTTAATTCTTCTTACTCATTTCGTTAGGAACCTACATAAATTTAAAACAGATGAAGTAAGAAAAGATATGGTAAAAAATATGGAGAAAATACCTACCCAATTTTGTTCAAGATAAGCTTAATTGGTTAATATTTTCAATGAATTACCTATAGCACTAAAGAATATTAAGCATTAATGTTTTTAATTTATTTTTAAAATGTTCACATATCTTAAAAATAAATTAAAAACATTAATGCTTACAAAAGTTTATTAGAGCACTGAACAATTTCGTAATGATAAAAATAATAATACCTATATGTTGACATTTATGTATGCATTGTAATAATTCATTATTCTTTTCTTTTTTAATTAACTTAGAATTAACATACCTAGAATTAAATCTCAGTTATGTTTTCACTTAAATTGTAATTTAATTATATTGTAAGTATTTTGTGAGCTTGCAATTGACAAAAATAATATTGTAATTATTGTCTTGTGATTTAAAAATTAACACAGAACTATATTGTAATCATCTTTTTGACTTAAACATTGGAATGATGTAGGTAGTTAGTATTTCATTTTCCTTAATTTTGTTAAATGCATGATTACTTATATTTCAACACAAATGTATTTGGTTATGAAATAAATGAAATGAAAATATCCAATGAAATTACTCAGTGGCTAATCGTTCAATTTTGTTGCACTTTGTTTATTACTCTGGGTAAAGATTAGTATTTACTTCCGACGAATCTTTGCCTCATTGTGAACTCAGGGGTCATTGAGTGGGGGTCGTCTACTCGTCTATAGATGACCCGAGGTAAGTCGGGGCACCAGGGACTTCCTTTCTAGGGTATACCTGGTTCCCCGGCTATTAGTACCCGGCGACGGCGTGCGGTTTTAGTCGGTTCGAGTCCGACATGCCACCGACAGGTGGTATCCGAGGGGATTTCCGCACGGAAAAAAAAAAGGGGTCATTGAGTGTTTCTTAACCAAATATTATAACAATAATGTGCGTGTAAAGATGCGCACGAAGGTGGTCCACCTTAGTGTAAATGAAGCACATACCTATATATAGATAAAGCATTTGGAAGACCGTCGAGTGAGTGCGGAGCCACGCCGGTCTCGTCAGATAAATAAAGGTAATGAACGGTGAACTTAAAATATTCATGACACTGAGACCCGTTTCTTTAACACCTTTAATAATAGCATAATATTAAAGACACGCGAAAGCAACCCAGTCTTCCTAAGTGGTAATGATGCAGAGATATTTTGTGAATGTAGTCCAATGCAGCTCCGTCTCTTTGAGTGTGCTGTGCATAAGACACATATTGTCATCTATATTTTGGCATGGATATTTCGGTTCCTATGAAAGCACGTCAAGCCGTCGGTCCCGGTTCCAAGCATGCGTCACGGGTAGTTAGGGCCCGAAACAATCCAACAGCAGTCTTTCTACAGAACTCCGATATCGCCTAGTACTTGCAGGTGGAGGTCTTCGGTATCGTAGTAGACTTAAAGCCGACCCAATCTAGTTTGGGAAAAAAGCTCGGACAAAGATTTTTGTATTGACAATATTATTATCCATACGCCACACGAGTACTCGGCGATACAATGCCAGTAAGACATACTTTATCTATCTGAGTATTTCAAATAACTTTATAAAATATCGTAGTTCTAGAATTTCGAAAATGTATTTTCATAAGCATGGCAGGTACTCTTTATTGCACACCCATGAATAGGATACCTACACGATTAATTATTGCATCGATCTCTAGCTTCTGTGGGTGGACCATACTGTACAGTAATGAGTAATTTATAGCGATAGATAGGTACTCGTAGTTTGGTAGGTATCCCTTTTAACTCTAGCTAGCAAGAGCACACTTTTCTCATTATATGTATCCAGGGCCATGAATAGCACGTGTGCGGCACGCCTTTCTAGTAGAGTTAGATAAGTGAGGAAGGCCTATGTACAGCGATGGACGTCTTTCGGCGGATAAGAAATGAGAAAATTTCTCAGTGAAAGAATGAGAGGTTACGCGATAACCCGACCCTGCAGCTGGGCGTCGCACGCAATTTTCACTAATTTGAGCGAATTATAACTCTCTAGTCCTTATCGACGGCCGATGCCTCCTCCCATGTGCACAATAGTCGCACAGACTCACTTTAATATTTATATTGAAAGTAAATATGTGCTCACATATTATTATACTAAATATGATGTGAACACATATGTACTTTAAGCTGAATTATTTAAGTGGCAAAAGGCGGGGCGGCTCAGCTGGGGAACAAAAGACATCAACGCGTAACGAGCGTCAAATTCATACCAAATAAAACATGTTGTGAGATTTTCATAATTTATTTTTAATTCAACAGCCAATCTAACAGGGCAAGATATCCATCAAAGCTCACTTATAAGAGCCTCTCGCTCGGAGTCGGTTCAGTACAGGGCACATACATAGTTATATGTAACTCGTAATCAAATATATATATATATATATATATATAAACACGTATACGCTTCAGGCACACACTTGTAGTCGCGTCCGGCGTTCTTCCGGCGCTCGTCCGGCATTCGTCCAGCACTTGGCCGGCGCGAACTGTCAATCATACGACAACACCGATCGTAATCGTTACGGGAATACAAAATAATACTGAAGAATAAATATTCACTATGACTAAGTACGGTGAAGTACATTAAAGCTGGGTCCACTGCGACACTGACTCATCACTCAACACACAGTTTCCATGGGGATGCGCGGCGCAGCTTGGGCCGAGGCTGCGCCTGCGCTGCAAGCCGGCGGCGCCGGCGTCGTGGCAGTCAGCGACTCGCCGCACGACGGCAGGTGCGTGGAGGAGTGCGTCGCACGCGTGCCCGCGCCTCCGCCCTCAGCGCCGCGCCCGCGCGCCCAGCACGCCGCCGCGCACCTCTTCAGCGCGCTCCACGCGTGCGGCTGGCAGCCCACCACCAGAAAGATAAACACGCCCTGCAGCGCATTCAGCAGATCCGTCGCGTACCAAACGTAATCGGGTCCGCCCGCCGCCCACGACACCACGTCTGCGCCCCAAGTCACACCCATCACCACAACTAACTTGGCGCACACTCGCCCCAGAGCCGCCCTGCAACACGACAGACAGTATAAGGCAACATGACAAATGTCAGCCGTCACTTTTTAATATTAGGACTGAAGACGTTTAAAACTTACCGCTCCGAAGTGGACTTGACTTCATCGCGCCGCCAAAGGCCGCACGTAAGCTGGCGAGTGGTGGATATGAAGAGCGCCAAGTTGACGAGCAGCAGCACCCCCACCGGTCCAAAGAAGTAGACAAGAATCTCCATGTCGCCATAAAACCAGCAGCGCTGCACGGCGAAACGCGGCCTCAAGAAGGGTGCGGCCACGTCTGGCGGCAGGTGGTCGAGCAGCGCCGCCGCGCCCGCCAGCAGCAGCGGCCCGCCCCACGCGTACACCATGTACACGCGCAGCCGCCACGCCTCCTGCCCGCGCTCCAGGCTCGTCGGCCGAAAGTCCCTGCGTCAACACATCACGCGCTCACAATCCAATACTGTTTGCAAACTACTACAGATTTCTTGTGAACAGTTGTAACGACATTTCCTATATAAACTTATGTATTTTAACACTTAATATCTTAATACACTACCTTTTAGAGCCTTACGTGTTCAACGGGTTCGTCTGGGTTTCAAAAGTGCGAGAATCAAAGTAAAATGGCGGATAATTGTGAGCTGAGCTGAGCATGTTATGGCATTTGGTTGTGTTTTTATCGCTAGGTCTTGACTTACATCAAACATTGGTTCGTTTCAAAACTTGCTGTGACTGATCATTTTACTCAAAACAGATACATATTTAATATAAACCTGCCTGTTGGCCAAGTGGTTAGTGACCCTGACTGCTAAGTCGGAGGTCGTGGGTTCGATTCCCACCCAGGACAAATATTATGTGATGAGCACGGTCATTTGTTCTGGGTCTGGATGTAATTTATCTATAATATGTATGTATTTCAAAATATATAAGTATGTTTATCAGCAGTCTGGTTACCATAGCACAGGCTCTGCCTTGTTTGGGATCAGACGGCCGTGTGTGAGATGTGTGAGATATATTATTATAAATACATTAATTTTTACATATTTTCATTTCTATACAAATATATTTAAATGAGCATCGTAGAGTAGAAACACTGCTAACAGTCTTGGACCTTATACCAGCGACCGGCCACAACTCGTGCGAGGACTTAAACACCAAATAGCAATTGATCCAATCGACCAACCTTCACAGGACCACCCGCTGCAGTTGGTAAGAATCTGTTTAGTCCTATTTGATTCCATAACATAAGGCACACACACCCTTCAATTTTTATAAATAATGGCCTGTTGGTCTAGTGGTAAGTGACCCTGACTGCTAAGAGAGAGGTCGTAAGTTCAATTCTCACCTAGGACAAATATTGAGCACGATCATAAGGTCGAAGTTTGGGTGTAATTTATTTATATTATATTTTAAATGTATTTAGAACTATATGTATAACTATGCTTATCAGCCGTCATGTTACCACAGTACAGGCTCCACCTAGTTTTAGATTAGACGACCGTATGTGAGATGTGTTGAATTATAATATATATTATGTTTTAATATAAGAAAGTTGACGTTGGTCGACGTGAGATGAAGAACAACAATATTACGTACTCTTCTCACAAAGGTAACACTGTCCCGAAGGTATGAGACATTGAATATTAGTTTATAAACCCTCATCACAATTTTATTACATTAGCTATAATGTTGCAACAACTAGGTCTTGGTGTCGCTCGGGAAGATCGCACTCGTTACTAGCACTACGATTAGACCTAAATATTTAGCTTTTATTGCCTAAAAATACGTTACTGACAATCTTACTACTTATATTCTCTAATAATATTTTTACTTACGACAACCATGACTTTACACAGCTACAAGATAGTACATTTTTGTAAAACTACGAACTATTTTCCTTGAATGATATTACAGCATTGGGGCTGTAATATCTATCAGAAAATTAATGCTACAATTAAATTCTGAGTACGTAAAGTCCCAATGTACTTGTTTTTGTTTAATTGCTACGAATTGTTATAAGTATGTATTACTCACCGGAATGTCCACCAGATGTTGAAACACATAGTGTTTAGCCAGAAGAAGGCGGAGAGGAACAGGAAGTGCATACACACAGCTGGACCACGGCACATGGAACAACAAACAAATCTCGGTCAGAGACGAGCACACCTATCGCACCTTCAGCTACGTTCACAGAACACGATGCTCACCAAGCGCGCGACACAGCGTGGGCGGTACGCGGTCAGCTGCTAGCTGAGTAGCAGCCAGCAATACATCTCCCAGCATCAACGCTGCAACATAGTGAGTCTGGCAGCGCCAGTGCAAGGCGTGGTGCGCTGCGGGCAAAGCAAAACCTGCCGCCAGAGTCGCCGCCAGGAACGCAGCGCCCACTGCTAATCCCGCGCCGTACAACGCATGACGAGTAGCCTGGGTAGGCCGTGCCGAGCGCGCTTCCGATTCACATGCTAGCACGCGGACGCCTTCCTCGCCCAGAATTGCATCGGCACACCATGCGCCTGCCGTCAGCTTCTCGCCGTCACCACCCGCCGCACGGAGCTCCAGCCCAAAGTCCTTGTCGAGCCGTGCGTTATCCAACACGCCCGCCACAGCGTAATGCGTGCCTTCAGGGCACACGGGAAAGCCTACACCTACTACACTGCCGTTGGCGAGCGCGTGCACAGAGCTCAACGCAGCTGCCGCGCGTTCTGTCTCCTCTACGCAGTGTGACCCGTTGAGTATACGACTTTCCGTACAACACTTGGAAGGCACCCATGATATGTCCGTATTGCACACGAGCGCAGCACTCGCGTCCGTACAATATCGCTTATGTGACAACGGCACGGATCCGCCGCGCAGCAACATCAGCGAGCCATTGAGGGCCAGCAGCGCATATGACGCGGAGTGCTCGGGCAACACGCGCAGAGACTCACACTCTGGCATCACGCCCTCCGCCAGTCGCCAGTGCTGAGGCAGATATCCGGGGGGCAAAAAACCGCCGCGAAAGGGTTTGAAGATGCGCGGCGCCCAAGTTCGTGGCTGTTCAGTGGCGACGCAAGCACTGGCGGCGTCAGAGCCGAACAGCATGGCCACGCGCAGTGCGTCAGGCGCCAACTCCTGGCCATCTGGGCAGCAGCGCTGGACTGTCACCGGCTTCATGCCGCCGGCGACGGCCCATAGCGCACCGCATACCACAACCACTCCGCCGACGGTCCACATGTCGCAAAAAGTTCACCGATCGCACCGACGAGCCGGACGCCGGCTCTGCATCGCGTCCGTCTTGTTGTTGCCGAACACTGCGTTTAGTTTTCACTGCACTAGGGAATACTCAATTGATACTAATAAAACATATGGAGGTCACTTTTATCCCAGGAAGTTTTTAAATCAGCTGCGTATTAACATAATATTGTATTTATTGCAGTGGACGAAAATACGACCGAGTTAATGAACACGTGTTGTATCGATCGAAATATGGTTGACGCGGCCTCTCCCGTCGAGAGCTAGTGCAAGACTGTCGGGCGCGGACAGCTGACTGGCCTCGACGGCCGGCGCGGGGCGTTCGCCCCCACGTCTGGGTGCTGTAGCGCTCGCCACGGCGCGACGGCGCTGCTCCAGAACGAGTTACTCAGTGCTCACACACAACTGAATGCACAAAGCCCGTAGCCATTAACGGTAAGGAGTGATGCTCACGTCGCCTTATCACATAATCACAACACAACACTACTAAACTAACTTCAAAGTGTACTTGTTTCTCAATAATAGGTACGTCATTGGTCCATTGACTTGACACATTTATTTTGTTGTCCTCATTACTAATACTACCAATAGAACAATAATTAGCCCTCCATATTGAATTGAACTATTCCACTAACTATCTAATAAAATTCTATTCAAATAAAATAAACTTGTGTTTTTTAATTTTAATTGTTTGATTAAATGCGGCATTTTTTATATTTTATTTTATTTTTATAACTAATATGATAGTTCCAGAAATTGGCGCGTTTAAAACCACTGTTTTTTTTCCTAATGGAAAAAAAAAACAATTACATGTTTTAGTAGTAAAAATAAATCTTAAATTCTCAAATTGGTAAACATACTTACACCCCAACAATTTAGTTGCGGATTAACAATACAAAGATGGTCAGATTGTGATTACGAAATGAGATAAGTCATATGCAAGTGTGAAACTGAAGCAATAATAATTAACTGGTCGATAATCCAATTTTTGAATTGCTGGCTGGAAGGAGCAAACATAGCAATTTCAACAAAGCGTATGTTTTATGTGTCCGCTGTCTACGAGGCGACGAAGAGGTGCTCGCATTTTGCAGGTTTCTGTATTAAACAGACGATGTACGCGCGCACCTTCCGTCGATGAACAGTCTTAGGCACTCGATAACACATTACATAACAATTTATTGTTAATGTCAAGGATTTAAACAATTATTTTAAAATTAAAAATGTGATTTTTAAAAATATGGCATATATAGATTCTTATATACTTATATACTACAGAGTACTTAAACAAGTTACATTAGAATATTTTTAAATAATAAATATGAATACAAAAGTAAAAATTATATTAATAAACATAATACATAAGTATTTATATACACATATACCTACATTAATACACATAATATGAATTCCAAAAAGAGAGAGTATACAATTAAGGCGGATCTGATAATGTGTTTAAGTAATGTTTCTGATCTCGAGAGGCAATAGGCCGCAATCAACCGTCCCCACTGGAAATCATTGGGAGAGGCCTATGTCCAGCAGTGGAAAAGCATAGGCTGAGGTGATGATGATGGTGATGATCTCGAGAGTCCCTCGTGCCATAACAGGATAGATTGTACCAAGAAAGACAGAAGACAGAGCGGTGAGTGGGACATTGAAAAAGTAGTTTGTTTGAAAATCTAAGGTTTTTCGTGTGGTTTGCACCTAAATATTGAAGTTGACAAGCCAAGTAAGAAGGAGAACTTGGAGAAAGGCGTAAAGAATATAGGGTAGGTAATGCTCATATCTGTCTGCGTTGACGAATTGGAAGCCATTTGAAATGGAAAAAAAAAAAAAATATATTGACACAACTTTTACCTGGCAAAAACATCTGTGTGCCAGAGAGTCACAGGCTCGTTGAGCCTATAGAGCGCCCGCAACGAGCCTTCTCATTTAGGCATTCGCCATAAAAAGGTCGTTTGTTTATTTGCCATCATGTTATCTATTAAATAAGAATTTGAGGCAAAACACAAACAAAAAGCATTAATAATATAATTTATAAATAAATTACATTACTTTCAAGTTCACAGTCTAATACTAAATAGAAATATTGTCCTCTTTTCTTCTATTTCATTCCATCCATTCCATTTCATTTCCATTCCATTTTCTAATAATATAGGACTTCTAAAAAAATTATAATTAATCAATCAAATAATTAAAATAATAACTGAATTGAATAAGTAACGGACAATATTTTATTTCTTTATACACTATTAAATCAATATAAAAATTATGAACAAATATAAGTATCAATGTTGATTATAATTAATAATAATGTAATACATGACATGTATAGTTACCATGATTGTATCCTACTACATATTAATTACAAACAAGACATTCTACTGTATATATGGTTGTGTTATCTTCCTCTCTCCCAAACAAACTGTGCTGCGCCCGACAGTGTCCATAATTGTTGCCGCTTGAATCGTTGTCACCCATGTATTTACCTTATGCAAGCAATAAAGTATTGAGTATAGTAAATGGTCATGATCATTATATAGTTTGCATCAGACCGACGCTACTTCGTCCGCTTCCCTTCAAGGGAGTACATTTGTCCAGTTCTGCAACATTTTCATTGATGCTCGGCGCCTATTGGACGTAGCGGTATGTTATATAACCTATAGCATTCCTCGATAAATGGGCTTACCAGCACTTTTAATTCAAACCAGTAGTTCCTGAGATTAGCGCACTCTAACGAACAAACAAAATCTTAAGTTTTCTAATCTACACATATTAAATTACTTGGCCTGACTGATTTATCAACGCAGAGCCTAAATTGAAATTTTGGCAGATGATGCTTTTTATGTTGTTCTAAAACTTGGAAACAGGAAATAAGAATTAATCAGCAAAATAGAAGAAGCAGCTGACAATAGCTTGTATTAGTAGAGATTACCTTTTAAAATAAGTTCCAAAAAGATACATTGCAACATATTTAAATATGGTGTAAGACAAACTGTTATAAAACAATCAAATGTAACAATGAGAAGAAATAAGGTATACAAGTGAATAGCCACATGTGGGCAGCATAGCTACAGCTGTGCACGGGCCGAGCTCGACATCTGCCAGAACATTTTGATTTTAACACATATAATGTACACATCAAACGGAACAACATTGTTTTGTTATGAATAGAGTTTGACTTGGTAGAGGTTGACTGCGCGGATGGCGTAGTCTCCTACTGCGCTGAGTATTGTGGGTTCGATCCTCACATGGGACACCACTTTGTGTGATCAACAAATTGTTGTTCTGAGGCTGGGTGTTCTTTGTGTCCCTTTCGTGTATGTTTGTAAAGTCCCCCCGCGACACAGGATATATATTCCTATCACGGGAGTTGTCTTTATAAAAACCAGAAATCAGTACAAACGAGCAGTTGGGTCCCCTGGAGGTGGGTGACTACCGCCGCCTATCCATAGGCAGCGCCTGCAGTTCAAGAGTGACAAGTGCGATTCCGACTTTTGAGTTCGCTCTTTCTGTTGAAATGCGGACCAAACCGAGAAGGTAATAGTAAGGTGCCCCAGCCCGGCGGTGAGAACAGTACATCTATATATACATATATTATACATATTTATTGATGACCCCAAAAAGTTGTACATTAATGGATCTCTTGCGAAACACTGCAATGCTAATTACGAGCCTAGTAAAGCTAGGGTTGCCCGTAACAGAGTAACAGTATATTGGGGCCAGTCATGTAAACCGTTGCTTGTGAAACGTACATTATTGACAATTGTGTGCTTATATATATTTGAAATAGGCATGTTTGTCAGGCAACATCCTGATCTATTTAAAAGAGCTTGAGATACCGCATTCAAAATTGGTTAATTCTCGAGGGATTCTACTAAACTAGCCTTACCCAAGTGCAACACAATATACTACAAAAAATATAGTGTAATGAATGTTCAATAGCACCTTAAAGAAATTAGTGAATTACCAACTTCCAAAAATAACTAAAATGAATGAATAAATGAAAAATGGTTTTTGTACCATAAATGAATTTATGAATCATTTAATCGTTACTACAATGGCATTGGCTATGCTGTCATAAAATCATCGAATTATGACTATTGTATTGTATGCCTATTGTATTGTGATGTTCTATAGTACATGAATTATATATTTTAAATTTTGAACAATTGACATTTCTTAGAATTGACACATTATTTGTGCCTTCTACTATTTGCGTTATTTTAAATATAATTAGACATTTGATAAAACAACTAAGCATGAAATAATTGATAATAAATTAATATTGTACATTTGCTTTGTTTATATGTAATCTTCCTTCTTATTATGTTTGTTGTCAATATTTAGTTTTGAATATTATCCACAATTAGACGGCGTTGTGCGTAATTCTGAATCGCGATACGAACACTTTAATTATCGTCATTATATTGACCTGTAAGTCGATTGTTTCTTATTGTAGCCAATAAACCAGTCGTAAGAACGGTAGTCGGTATTATTATTAATCCTTGCGGTTTATGAGTCTAAACGATCTGGACAGGTGCATATATTATACAGCATGACGAATGTAGTAGGCGAAATATGAAGAACTTTGAACTTTCAGGTCTACTGTAATTTACCATAAAAATGTGAAATTAGAAAGAGGAGTGGGACTGTGAGGAGGGGCCGACAGCGTTGGAACGCAGGACTCGGATCTTACCACTGGCTATAGTACTTGTCTCAGTCGCCGCATTACATTATCACCTTTATTCTCTTCAATATATTAACCGTAAATTTCGTAGATAAGCTAACAACCAAGTACATTGATATTGCCTGCATGCATGCATAAACACTTACAGTATACCTGCCGATATTCTTTTTCGTTTATAAACCCTAACCTAACATAACAATACCAAGCCAGCGATGAGTAGACCTAGGTGAGTATGGGTAAATCCTGAATTAAGCTTTTTTTCAATTAAAATTCGTACTCCATCGAACCGAAACAA